TCGCCTCGCGATATTTCATTAAAGTCTTTAAGAGACAACGTTAGAACGAAGACTATTCGAATAAACCTCAACAAGCAATCGATTCGATTTTGCTGATACTTTCAAGAAATATTCGAGACAGATATATATACGTATACGAAAGGAATAAAGAGACAGAAAAGAAAAAGCGCGCGAGCGACAAAAGCTTCTTCAGACAACTCAACCGATATTTTATGTTCCTTCGCCTTTTGATCTCCGCGCCTTTTCCGGAACATTCTCTCGTCGCGGACTATTTCAGGGATTTAGTTTTCCAATAGGAATGCTGCGCCACTGTCAGGATAAATTATCGGAAGCTTTCTCACCAAGAGACAAGACGAGGAGGATTACATTCGCGACGACACAAATCTGTCGTTTCTCTACCTTAGGATGTTTAACGACAAAAATATTGAGAATATCGGCCAAAGAAAGAAAATTGAAAACTCATTTCAGTCACTTCAAGACGTGTTATCTTTAGTGAATAACAATAATAATGTTACAATAAATCGGCACAAATAGCTTCGTATCAAAATATCTTAATAAATGTGATGAAAATATGCCAAAATTAAGTTTAAAAAAATTAATATAAAATAGATATTAAAAAATTAAAAATAAAGACAATCTGGTTATATAATAAAGAAGAGATTAATAACACATAAATAATCAATTTATCTATAGAATTCGAGAAAATTTAGAATGTGTGTCTTAATTTAAATTATTAGATATACATATATTCATACATGTACATTATATTATATATTACATATATAAAGGAAAAGAAAATTGAATTTCCTTTTCTTGTAATTTCTTTCGATACCGATCGACCGAAGTAAAACCAAATTTTTACGTTAAAATAGAGATACTGTATTAATTAAAACAAAGGTCTATAATTTCCGGTTTACTTAAGTGATATTTTTAACACCGTTTAAATCGTTCTCTTTCGAAAATATTAATTTATATAAATAACTTGTATTAAATCTTGATATAAAAGTTGACAAATTTAAAATCAAATATAGATCAAGCAACTCACAAGAGTATATATGGGAGTCTTTCAAGAATTGCTGCAGAACAGTTCTAATCTATTGATAACACACGTCCCTGTAATATTTATTATTAATACCTTACTAACTCACCTTAGTGGACTCGTTGTAACCGACGATCACGGCTGTGTACCATTGTGTAGTGCCTTCCGCCCGATAAACTTCGACCCTGAAACCGACGAGAACGCTAGGCGTAGTCAACAGAATCCTCTGACCGTCCTGCATCTCGGCCCATCTTCTAACGGCGTTTCCCCAGGGCATTGCGCCCTTAGTCAGCTCCCAGTCCTGCTGTAAAGACGAACAAAAAAGACCGAGGTTGAAGCTTCGTCCGTAGAACTTGATTAAGAAGAGCGGACTGTTCTCCTCCGCTCGAGAACCTGTCCGCGATTTTGGAAGGAAAAATAAAGAAGGAAAAAACCCGCGCAATTTGATAAGAGATAACAAAGGGGATAAAAACTCCTCTTCCTCCGAAAAACTGAGCGCACGGGATTTTATTCTAAAAACAGACTGCGATTTATACTATACTTTATTATGTATTTTACTTGTAATTTTGAAATATAATTAATAACTCTAATATGAATAAAACTTTAATTATTTTATTTTATTTTACAAAAATACATATAAAAAAAGATATTCAATACCCTTCGGCTATTGTATAATATCCCATTGTGTTTTGAAAGATAGAAGCTGATGCGCATTTTATCTTATTCGTTGACTTTATTATTATCTCACATACAAAAAGAACGATTTTCCTGAAGTATCTAAAGTTTAGCTAGATATATGTAGACTTAAAAATAAATTTTGAAATGTCAACAAAATAATTATGTAGAACGTTCAAGCGCTAATTGTTAGAATATTAACATTTTTTTAGCATTGCTTTTAACGTTTGAGTTTTCCACACAAATACTTTAATAAATTAAAAAAATTATTTTCTTAGATTCGTAACTAAATTTTTAGATATTTCAGTAAAATCGTTCTTTCTGTGTATTAATATTGTCATAAATCGACAAAAATGATAAACGCAACGGAAACAATGCGCTGAAACTTGAAATAGATATCAAATCTGATTAAGGAGAACACAGAAACGTCATATTTTATGCAATCAATAACCGATATGTCAGAAGATTTTATGCATACTCTTAAAAGCAGTGTCTGTCGAGAAATTAGAGAGATCCGATGAAACAAAAATTAATATATCAAATATTTAATATCCCTTTGTTAAATCTATAATTGGATACCTCGATAATTTCTAACGCATTAGAGCGTCAATCAAAATGTGACATTGAAAAACGTTAATTACATCACCGTCTGGTTTCTCGAGCTATAAATATAATCAAAGATTGCAACTAATTAATACATAATACGTTTTGTCGTCTCTACATACATGTTAATAAACTAAATCTTATATGATGTGCAAATGGATGGCTATAACTTTTAATGTCATTTCCAAGTCGACAGAAGTATGACAGAAAAGTTTCAATTTTTTTTAGATTAAAACAATTTTCTAATTTATGTAACTCCGTGCATAATTTTAAAATTGAACTCTTTTTATCAATTTTGCACGGTTGATTTGAAAATGGCGCGATTTTCAAGCAGGAGAGAATCACCGAGGAGAAAACTCGACGGAGTTTGGAAGTAAAGTGTTTAGACTTTAAAACGTTTCTTTCGAAATGTGCTTCATGCGAATATTTCTGATAAAGTTACATAAGTTCGTATTTCATCGTTATCGATTTAACGTGGCACCTTGTTGAAGAGTGCATTTGTAGTACATATTTCATAATAATGGGATTCTCTTAAGAATGTCATGCGGATTCAAAGCGGGAGGGATAATGTCAATTTTCACCTTGTTTCGCGATCATTTCTTTTTTCTCGATGACGAGTACACGGTCGAGCGAGCACACCGCTCGTGTTCGCATTTAAATTACGTCATCACTACGCCGTTACGTCAGACACGCGTTATGCAATCGTTGCGCACAGCGTGACGGCGCGAAGCGCGTTAATGGTAGTAATACAACGGCAATTAGAACGTTATTACCGAAGCGTCGAGAGCACTTAATGTCCGCGCAATGCTCGTCGTGAACGCGATTCACGAAGCACTTTGCATGAAGTTCCAATGCGAGCCAATAACGCTCGCTTTCTTCGATATTACTTATTCCTCTCTCTTTGATTTCGAGATAATTCAAAAATTTAATTTATTACATAATCAACGAAGAAACAGAATTATAACAATTTATAGAAATTCATTGATAGAGAGAAAGCTCCGTCGCTGATTTGATACAGAAATAGCCTCTAAAGATTTATCGAGCAGTCTGTAAATAAAAAAAGAAATCACGGCTGACTACGACCTCGCGGCAGGAGGCACTACAATTCGATCAGATTTCATGGTATAAACTTAACTTCGATCTCGACCGTTATTATCTTATGTCCGCTGCGGTCTGCATATTTTGCCCAACTTTTTCCTGGTTATTCTTGGAGCCTTCATTACGCGGGTGAATCGAACGAAATAAATGCTGGAAAGATGGAAAGGCAGCTTCACGCGATCAAAGAGAACTGCGTAATTACACGAATAATAATTGCTTTGTAGGACTGGAAATATGACGTACATCTCGAGCTCAATGTATTTTGCAAATTGCTATTCCGACTATTAATATGTAAAGTACAACTTTGCAGACTGCTAAACATTATAATTAAAATTACGTCAGTCTTATTATGCTCTTCATAAAGTCCTCACATCCCACGAGACTTTTTACAGAGTTATAAAAAACATTCATTAAAAATATATCAGTTTTACTAATGTAGCACTTTTTACTCGTTTTTTTTGCTTGTCTCATTACTGACGTATTGAAAAAATGTCATGGGTTTCAGATTCGAAAACTTCGTTTTCATTCATTAAAAATTATTCAATTTTACGTTTTTCTCATCGCCAGAAATGGAATGGTAAAATCTTATGAGGAAAATACTACATGATTAAAGAGCTGTCTTAACAATCATATTATATTTGCGAAAGTTAAGCGAGATGTTAGTTTAGATAAAAGTTTAGACCTGTAACATGCAACATGCGTTTAGATAAATATCCAGCATTTCTAACATCCCGAAATTATCGTCTAAATTATCTCTTCGTGCGAGATTGATACACGCTACTGTACATGTGTTCGTGTACATAGCATAATTTCTCGCAGTTTTCTCATCTGTCATAAAATAGTGCTTGCAAATAACTATCAACTATCGTCCTCGCAGTCGTTCGTATCCATTGTAAAATCGTTCCCTGCAAACTCAGAAGAAGTTTACCGAGAGGCAGAATCAATAGAAAATTTTCGCGCAACGTATGGCATTAATGGGGGGAGAGCAGTTCGCAAAAAGTATTTTTCGTTCGTCAAGCCGTTATCGTCGTTAAATGTCGATATCGAGTCGAGAAATAACGTCTGTCTGGACACGTCGCGCACCAATTATAACGTGGAAATGAACGACCAGGATTGGTCTCGGGGTCAACGAGATTATCTGTCGGTCGTTGAATTATTCGTACGCACGATAATTCGATTCGGGGATGTCATTCGGCACGGGAACGAGAGAAACCGTATCCTTATTTATGGATTACGACCCCACGTTATGGATTGCTTGCTCCGAAAGATCGTTTCCAGAGGTTTTCTCTCGTTCAAAGCGAGTCGACTAAATCCCATCTCCGATTCTCGTAATTTTAATCCTTTCCACGAATTCGATGCAATTTTCAAGCCGAACTTCGTCCACGATAACATGCACGATCTTCTACATATGTATAATATACTATCTTCTTACGAAGTTCTTAGAAGATCTAAATTAAATAGCAACGCGAAGTGAGCATTGTCTTCCTCATAATAAATTTTAAAGCTTGCGTATAATATCGTTGCGTGAAAAATATTTATTTATTTTATTCAAATTCAAGAAACTATTTTACTCAAGTAAAAAAAATGTGATGTTTGTCTTAATTTCTTAAAAACTCTGTTTTTACCTCACTAATTATTTTTCGTCGCTAGAAATAGAAAAGTATATACTTCGAAAAAATAAGAGAAATTGAAATACTACTGTCTCCATAATCACACTTAATAAAAAAATTAAAATAAGTTAATGTTATGAAAGCTCTTAATCGTTGACAATATATTTGTATCAGATTGCATTTTAGAAATATTGTATATAACTATATATATTTTTATTATACATTACGTAATTTAATACTCAGAAAAATTTAAAACATGTGATTTATAAATACAGAATATATTGTCTATAATATCGTTTTTCGCTTGTAACATTATCTTCAGAGATTTATGTTTTTGGTAATATACTTACTATTGCATATTTCATAATGCATTTCTTTTATATCATATAGATTTTAATATTAATAAAAAGCTGTACGCTTCTTTTTAAGCGAATTCTCCAATTATTAAGCAAATATCTCTCGAAATGAAAATTATCGGTCGGAAAATCACGGCCAACACCAATGTCGACTGTTATCGTTCTATCACGCGCCGCGGGTACTCGTTAGCAGTTGCTGGCGCGGCAGCTAATTAATTAAGGAGTTCCTTAATTAAGAACGCGTCCGCCATTAATCGCGATGCGTTCACCGTACAATCACGGAACCAAAGCGCCGGCAGATAAAATGACTATGGGCAGGTGACTGTCGTAAAGTTTAAATTAAAGGCGCACAGACAGATACACGTGTACCGTTTGTGTATTCGCGCAATAAAATTACTCGCGTGCAATTACTTTTTATATCGGCGTCTGTATCTATTCGATAAAATTTCGTCAATAATGAACACGTCAACTCCGATATTGCTCGATATAACAACTCTGTCAGTCTTACCGCCACGATACTTAATCGTTTTCGTATTTAAACTTTCCCAATGGCCGATAGACGCACAGCAGGTAGGTTATAACATCATTTATAAACGGAACTGTTTCGTAACTAGGTATTGCATGGGTATAAGCTCGGTTTGTAGAAAGTTAAGCTTTGAAGCATCAAACCCTTGGGATAGTAAAATATCTGAGAATATTTTAATAACAGATTCCTCTAGTTGAAATATATTGATATTTCAAAATTTCAAAACATAAAGCTGATAATTTACTATAAAGCTTGCAAAGCCGATAATTTGGTTGTAAAAATATTGTGTAAGTTCTATTAATTTTCTGAGGACCGGCATGTTTTTGATCGATTTTTTTATTTTAAGGGCTAGAACTTTTTTATCAATGTCATGGGGTTGAGTGGCAAAAAAGTTAGCGCCACTGTCGAGTCCCTAAAAAAGGGCCTTCGGTTCTCTATAGGTTAAGAATGATGCCAAACAACGAGTCAAAGTCATATAAAAATTTTCGGCTAATAAGTTTTAATATTTAGCTTATAATTTATAGTAAATTCGATTAGACGTACTCAGTGCACTGACTGATATTACAGCTGTCGTAATGAAAACCGCCAAACCTTGTACTCATTTTATTGCATTGTTAGGTGAAATATATTATAATTCGAAATAATCACTTTTACACTGAAATAAAATCAGTATACAATGACTTTAATATCTACGCCCAACTAAATTCACTATTAGTCTGCTATTTCGCCAACTCATTGTCAATGTAAATTAGAATAAATCACTCAAGATTTTATTACGATAAGGCAATAGACTTTTTAATTATTTTACATAATTACTTTATCTACAGACTCTCGCGACATTTCAAACATCAGTTCGTACGTTCAGATGAACAGTATTAATCGCCAAAGTAAAAGGTATAACATATATTTCTCTTCCAGTGATCTTTCAGGTAAGATTCCGACGAGGATCGCGTGAAGGGAGATCGAAGGTATAACGCAGTGCCGTCACACTTGGCTAAGGACCGTTAGAACGGGAATATGTTGGCGCCTCATCTTGGCTGCTCTCCAACGTTCTCCAATGATCGTGCGCGCGCGTTACTGATGCGAGTCGTTAAACTAATACTTAACAGTTGACGTTGTCGGGCAACAAGTAAAAACAGCCGTATGGATACGGGACCTTTTCTTAACAAGTTACATAAACGCAGCTCTAGAATCCATTCTCTAATGAAGATTTCCTTTCATTAGGCCAGCCTCTAAATATATATATAGAAAAAACTCTAGATTAAGAAAAGAAAGACTTTAGGTCTTCAGAAGATGAAAATAAATATTGTTCCCTTGCTCGATTTTTTTATCTTCTAAGGACCTAGAGTCTTTTCTCAGTCTGTTCTATTATAAATCCGCTGCTCTTAAACCGTAAGTGACTCTAAATAAATTACTTCCAATGCATATAAATATTTAATCTTCCATCTGCAGTCATATTTTTGACTGCAGATGGAAGATTAAATATGATGGATGATTAAATATGAACTAATAAGTTGCTCTCTCTCTCTCTCTCTCTCTCTCTCTCTCTCTCTCTCTCTCTCTCTCTCTGTCCAGTCTAAATGTTATTACTATTCTAGGCTTTCAAAAAAGTAAAAAAAATCAAGATTAATTTTCAACGTATCTATTACATCACTAAGTTTTTTAACAAGATATTACAGTAGAGGAATCTGAATCTCTTTTATTTCGAAAAAATTTGAAAGTAAAATGTTGCTTGTATGAAAAAAGACCCAGACGGATGATTAATATTCGCGAGATGTAAAGTGCGGTAGCATTCGTTCATGGCACCTACGGCAACGAGAGCAAAGCGAAAGCGATGTCTCCGAGCGACGTCGCGCGCAAGGGCACGCATGTTGGATACTTATGCGATGCAACGGGGAGAAAAAAACCTCGTAGCATTTATAGTTCAGGGTCAGCCCACTCGCGCGCAACTTTGCCCCCCCCCCCGCACCCCCGAACGAATTTGGCCCCTTTTGTATATCTTTTTATCCTTTTGCATTTAACCGCTGATTTTCTCCTTTTCTTGACGAGCGCGCCGGTCCGCAATAAAGTTGAAAGTAAAGATCTATAGCGGTTTGAAAGAGATTTGTTGTTCAAATTAGGACCAATTTACAAACGGAGAAAGAATTCGGGGTGACGATATATATAGCTTCATGAGTAATTGCGTCGAACCACAGTAAATAATTAAAAGTGAGATTGTTTTGAGTTTACAATTAAAAGTCAGCGTCGAATATTGTGTTTCAATTTAAGATGCTAAACTCGATCGATTTAGGATGTTAAATTTCAATCAAAAGGCTGAAAAAAATGCAATTTGTCTTGCATTGTTATAACATACGAGATTTCTCAGGGCATCCTTAATGCACAAGTTACGAAGATAATACGTACTTGTTTGAGATGAACTAATAAGTTGCACGTAGCAGGATAAAGGGCGGATTTGAAAGGTGAGACACACCTGAACCTGACCGCCGGACTGAAAGTTCTCGCCGCACGTAAACGACTTACAACCTCGTATACCGTCGCCGGAGCGGGAAAAAGTTTTAACGGTAAAAGTTTCCCGGTAGTTTAATTACTTGGAAACAATTCCACCTCGCTCAACTCTTCCTACCCTAACAGAAACGCGGTAACTTTCGAAGTGGCCGCACGCACACACACACACACAAAAAGGTGCACGCGCACTGTTCTTTCGCGCTCGCGAAGAGGGATCGGTCTGATCGATTTATTATCTCGATCGAGTGCCTCGTATTTCCCTATCTGGAAGCTTCCCCAAGCTCGACAAGAGTGTGGAAGTTTCTGCATGCTCATTCATTACAACTGCCTCAAACTAATCATCGAAGGTCAAAAACTAATATTGGAATTTGCTTATCACATTTGTAATTAGCATATTAAAAATCACATTCGTGTGTCGGAAAATTTCATCGATTTAATTTCTCTTTTTAATGAATAGCCGATAAGTTGTATAAAATAAGCAAATAAATGGAGAAAAAGAAACAAGAAAAAAATGCGTTATTTGATAATTCGTTCGTAAAGTTTAGTGGAATATTCATGATGAGATAAATAAAATGATAAAAGCATCCAGTTAAAAAAATATATATAATACATACAATGTAAAATTTCTATTGTTGATAAAATAGTAATATATTAACAAATAAATTTAAACAATTGTAAACAACCTATCGAATTATATGAAATTCTTTTGCTTTTACAATTTACTTTCTGGTTCCACCATGTAACCTCCAACATTTGCCCTAAATAATTTAGACATATATCTTCCCATTAATAAGTTCTCCAGTTTCTCCAATTCCGTTCGTCATCGGGAAATAATAAAATTTTCAGCTCAGAGAGGAATAATCCGCGAAAAGTTCTGTCGCGCTCGCGAACATAACTCCTGCACGCACGCGAAAGTGAAACGGGAACTCGAGTCAAAGTTCGGCTGCTCCTTCCACCTGGTAAGTTTGGTCGAAGCTCTTCCGCGTAGCTCTTAAGAGAAGTTGGACAACAAGCCTCCGTGAAAGATTACTTACAGCAGCGGTACGACTCGGGAGAGAAGAAGAGATGCGCGCTCTCGCATTCGCATCCGTTGCCCTGGAGAGGTGTCGGATGCGCCAATGGCGCCGGAACTTGTTCTCTAACTAAGTTCCCAGCGAAGCCCCCTAACGAAGTAAGTTTCCAGTCGTAAAGCGGAAGTGGCCGCTGTGACGCGCTATACCACGATGTTCGCCAACCGAACTCGCTCCACTCGCGGGCTCTTAATCGTTTTCGGGATCCTTTATCGTATCTCGCGCGTGAAATGTGCAGGACACCGCAGTGGCGAGGAAATTAGGAGGAAAACGAGATAACGGATTGCGTCAATGTACCTTGGTCAGCAGAAATTATCACCATACTTCTCGTCACGCGCACGAGTTTTATGCTTTTACGTTTTCTTCACAACTCATATTCACAAAGCACATGGACAGCTAATTAGAGAATATTGTTGGATCATCAATTCTTTCTGCTAAACAAAAATGTTACCTTCGTCGCACGTTAAACTTTCATAAAACGTGAAAAATAATATAAATTAATACTGCGTTAACTATAAATAATAATCGTTTAAAATTAATATAAAAAAAGACAAGTAAAATTGATATAAGTAATAAATGTATTGAAGCAAATTGATAACTGATGATAGTCAACCACACACAACTAGGTCATTCGTGTCCTACACGCGTTCCTTTTCTTCAAAAAACTAGGAGCCAGTATATACAATATTTTTAAATACTCAACCTTACAAATGTCTTTTAAAAATGTTAATATATATATATATATATAATAATGATTTAATAATATTTGTTAAAGCAATGAAAATTAACTCAAGACACAAATAACAAAAAAAATTGCGTGTAGTAAAGTATAATAACAAAAAAAGTTATATTAAGAGTTAAACATTAACGCTATGTTAGTATTTGTTTACAAACATAATTTATCGCTTTACATGGATTACAGAGTAATTACGGAGTCAAAGATCGTATTATGATGACGTACAGCTAATATCTTCGATAGAGCGGTTGATCATAAATAATAAGAATAACTAAAATTTGTGACTTACAGTGAACGGCTTCAACTTGGAGTAGTCGACGAAGTCCAGTTTGCGATCTTGCATAAATTCGATCGGCATGGCGTCCTCGTGCAACTCGGCGCGTGCCACGAGAGGATAAAAAGTCTAAAAATAAACATGCAATTTTCGATTATATGTATAACTATTTCAGTTGAAATAACATTTTAATCTAATCCATCCAAGCAGCATATTTTTATCGTTCAACGTGCGCATGCTGCATTTAACTAATTCCATTTACATTAAAACGTTTTAAAAAGCTGGATATCATTATGAAAGACGTAATATAATAATAAAATTTACACCAGAGCATTTTTAAAGAACGATATTTAATTCATTTATTTAATAAGTAATTATACTTTAATTTTACATAAATTAATTTTAATTTTAACGAATTAATTAAAAATTACAATCAATTGCAGAATAAAAATGAAATTAGCTTATGGCAGATTCAAATAAGAATTATTTTAAAAACGTATTTATATTTTACAAAAAAGAATATAAATATTATAGGAATATAAATATAAATATTATAGTGTCTTTGTATACAAATAATAGTTTTAATCTGATGACATCAAATATTAAATAAAAATTGATTATTACCTACATATAAAAGGAATAGAAATAAAGATATTAACAATTACAGCAATAATATTTCAGCAATATTCATACAACGCTGCATTCAGACCTTTTGATATTCCTATACAAAAAACTGCATAAACGGCAAAAATTTTAAATATATAAACGTAATTATTTTTGCGTAGTTAAATTTTCACAAAATAATTAAGCTTATTCAATCGAAGCATTAAAATTTTAATCAGAAAAAGAGCGCCGAGCCAATGGAATGCGACAGTCCGTTTTGTAGCGGTTGAATTGTGCCGATGTAAAATTTATTCAACGGACTGGAGAATTGAGTATTTCATTAATTAACCACGAACTGATTAATATTCGAATAGTATCACGAGCATTTCTCAATTATCATCGTTAAAATATGAGAGAGCTGCATTAAAAATGGTAAATCGTGATAGTTTCTGTGTATAATTCGAAGGAAATCACACGTGACAGATTACTGCCGCATTCAGGCGTGAATATTGTATCGTATAATATTTAAACCGTGGTAAAAATATTCTTTTAACACGTATATCATATAATTTCTATCTACATTTCTGAACAAGGCAGGAAAGTTCTATAATTCGTAATGCGATTAAGAAAAAGAAAGAACTTGTTTTTTGTTTTCGAGTCATATTTAGTGGATATTTGAAGAGGAGCATCTCTCTTTATTTTTTTTTTCCCTTACAATCTAACAGTCTCGGAAACTATTCAACCAACGATGAGAAATCACTGATACAAAAAAATATTTTTTTCTTTGAGGAAAAACGAAACAAGGTCATCCGAGGATTCGTAAATTTATCCATGAAAACTAGATACAATTTATTTATACTTACAAGAGCTGGCCAAGCAACGGTGTCGGCGACCGCCGTGGCGCCTCTGAGCGGTTTCCCGTTAATGCGGTGCTGATGGTGGTTATTGTTCGCGTGATTATGATGATCGATGGGGATGAGACTGGCGTGCCTGGGGTCAGGTCGTTCAGCCCAGTAGAGACCTCTTTCAATGAGAAAGAAGGAAAATACGGCATCCCTATGTGGTGACAACCACTCCCTCCTTTGCCATTCCACGTCGTCGTACTCTACGAGGATCTGCAAGCATACATAATCGAACGCTTACATCAATTGCATTATACGTAATAATATAATAATATAAGTAATATAATAAAGGCGACTAGGCGAGAAATTTCGAAAGGAGACAAAGCTCAAGAAACAAAGCTTTATGACAAAGTGATTCAGCTCTGAACGAAAGTGAACTGATAATATAACTTTGAAATAAATCAATGTATCCATATATTTTTTCCTTGTTAAAATAATTAATATCTTAATTAATAAATAGAGAAACCGAATTAATGTAACAACATAATATAGCAGAGAGCGCCTAAGAATCGGTCAAAAAGTTGAAAGTTACGAATAATATAATTAATAATATTTTAATTAATATTTTGCAGCTGATATATAATATAGAAGCTACATGTCTTTGTGAGAGACGTGATATAAAAACCACTTTGCGAATAATCCCTTTAATTAAACAGCATTACGAGAACAATTTTCTGCTTAGCCATTTTTTTAAGTTACAACATAACAATGTATCCTGTCTGCTGTTAATTAGAGACTTTCAAAATAACAGGTGCTACATAATGAAATGAAATCTGTGTAGGTTCTACTTATTCCACGGAATCATGAGGGGGTTAAAGATTAAACCATTCTCGACAACGAGCGGTTATCATGCGAACGATGCACGGGGCGGGACCTTTCAGCTAGCCACGTAACAACCACCCAGTTAATTATCAGCGCCTATTATCGTGATATTCATGCACGCTTATCGAGTCTCTCTCGTTCGCGTTCCTCCAGAAAACGCACGCAACGAATTCGAGCGCCGATGGTGAAATTGTCTCGACTATACCGTACATATATTTACACGGAGAGAATGAGAGGGAGAGGATGGTGCATGGAAATGGTCCAATTAATATGTATTATTCATAACCTCTGGCCTGGAGCAGAAAGTGCTGGCTGCTAGGATAACGAGAGGGGGTCATGGAAGCGGGATGTAGCAGGATCCGCACGCTCGGTTTACTCTCGGGCTTTGTCAACGCGACCGGGATTTGGTCGGGGGCAGCCGATTTATCGAATCAAATGACGGATAGTCATTCTGTATTCCACGGCCTCTGCGAAAGTGCACGCTCTACTTTAGTCTAAAATTAAATGAACGTTCGCCCTTTCCGACTTTCTTCAAATTTAACAACATTAAAGTACATACACTGTTTAGCTGAAAATTTTACAAGAACTGAAACAACTTCTACTAAACTTTTCGCTGATAAAATAATTCCAAAATAAAACATCACCGCCTTTACCACAGTGGAACTTCTAAAGCTTGAAACACTCGCCATCTCCTCAACCATTTAAGGTAGTATAATTATATTACATTAATAAAACGTTACGTTATAAGGCGAGATATCACGAAATGTTTGCGCGATGTACATAGATGAGAAAGATCCTTTTCGTGTGCGGATTAACGCAAGAATGTATGCGTATTATATTTATAGAATACTTCGCATCCGGTTTTAGATTCCCTCGGAATATCATGCAACCCTCTCGCCTGTCTGGCACACTGGGGTCATCGTAATCGTAAGGGGAGAGCGTGACTCGGTGCGGTCACGATGCGTCAGCCAATTAATTGATAAATCAGCATTTATAAGCGAAACGTGCTCGTCAAAATCGTCGCACCGTGACCGCAAATACTCAATTCAATGTGTTTGGCGAAAACATGTATAATTTACAGCGTGTTGTAATTGTGTTGTACATAAGATTAAGATTAAGAAGATAAACGATGGATGGAACATGTCAAAAGTCTGAAATATGGGAGAAAGGATGATTTGTAAAAATGTAAAGAAGAGAATACATACATTAAATGTGCAGAATGAAAGCATTCAATAAAAATAACATATCGGCAAATTCTGCAAATATAATATATAGTAATAAAGACGTGCGACGACTCAATTTACGTCGATAATATATCTAATAATAATTGTGTAACTATCTATTAACGCATCGATCGATGGCGCTTTATCCTTTTGCGATCGAAAGAAATGGCGTGGTGCATAAATTTGCATTCGTATGACTGCGGTAAATTAATTGATGTGTCTGGAAATGGCGGGTTGGCCAGACTCCGACTACGGGCACACCGTGACACATCGTTGGCATCAATAATAATTCGCGGCCGTTATTAATCGAACGCGTAAGAAACGCGAGATGAGGTACGAGCGAGGCGCGGTTTCCGGGTACGCGAGTAGAGCGTGACGGCGCATAATTGCAAAACGTTAATCGGTTAATTAATAAGTAAATATCTGCGGGGCGCAACGGCTGTTAATAATAGGCGAGGGAAGCGCCACGTAAACGATACATGGATGATTAATAATTACGCGATATCGCGTTCGCTCGCCCGTTCGCTCACTAGATGCGTTTAATGGCGCTGCTGCTGGCACGCAATTCGAATCGCGGGGGTATTCGGCACTGGCGGGGGGGTTATGTCAGGAATTGTAATCCGTTTTCGCAGGAATCTCTCTTCTATATTTCCGTGTCCCGCGTGTTCGGATTACCCACGCATCGGGGATGCCGCCCGGACGACGTGATCCAAGGCGCGACAAATTCCTTCCCAGTTTATCAAGAATTCGCTTTCGACGAAGCGTATTGCAAATATTAATGGCGATTTGAAAAAAAATCGCGAGAATCGCTATAGCATGAGAATTTCGAGAGTCCTATTACCTATTATCACTTTCATCATTTCGCCAGAATTTAAATGGATATAAATGGTGTTATATGTATTGGTCTTGTCATATAATTCTATGCCGAACATTTTTTTACAATGTAAAATAATATTCTTAGTATAAAACTGTTCACAATTTTGACAATCGGGTAATAATTTATTGTTGCAAATCGTGGTATCTTGATCATTACAAAAATATAATAAGTTTATTTTCATTCTTCTTTAAACTGGGTTCGTTTAAAAACTATTTTAAAAAATATTAACTACTACTTTATATTTAATTTAAATCTGACTACTTTGTAGCAACTTTTACAATTTACTTAGTAAATTATTACAATGTAAAGAAATGAGGATAATTATCCCCTTATTATTAAATTCATTATAAATTATTAAATTGTGTAATAATTAACAGTCAATTTTTTCAGAAAAATGAAGAAAGAAAATAATCAATATATTATAGTCGATTGAATCAATAATGACTGGATAATTGCCTTCATTTCTTTCAAACAATGAAATTTATTTCAATCAATTCTCCCTATTAGATATTATATAATTAAAGGAGAAGTGCTGTTAATGTAATTCATATAAGATACACTCCAATAAGTACTCTATTGCAATAATTGATGACAACAGGAAAAATTCATCCTTCCTTTCTCTAGTATGGCGAAA